TGTAATACTTAACTAAGTCGACAATTCAAAATTCGAAACGCATTTTTGTAACTTGTTCTAATTGAGTTTTTAAATATATAATGCTTAAATGAAACTAGCAAAAGAATGGTTTTTAAAATTTAGCTAAAGTACTCAGAAAGTACAGAAAGTACTCATTCTAAGCGATATTTAAGGGAAATATATTTTGCAAGATCAATTGTTTGACACAGGTAAGCAAACATTTCGCTCTTAAATTTTCGGATAAGTTAAATCAGTTCGAAAATCGTATTTGAATTGCGGTTTGAATACTTTTTAAGCGCCGAACGTTGCTAACTAGTAACACAGCTGTTTGAGCTTTTACAGCACTGCCAATATACTCATTGTGGCTATCGATGTTATCGATACTAAAAGCGATTGAAGGCATATTCGTTTTAAAAAGTTAGTTCGGTCACAGGTAAATAAATCCAACAAAATGCCCGTGGTGGACACAAAAGACCCCGTGCTGCTTCAGAATCAGCAGGAACAGGTGGCGCACGTGGATCACGTCAAGGTGGCTTTGGCGGATTCCCCTGTGGCAAGCAATGGCGTAATTTCACAACGCGTTGCTACTTTTTAGGCGCCCAGCGTTGCCAATTGGCAAAACAGCTGGTTGAGCTTTTACAGCACTGCCAATATACTCATTGTGGCTATCGATGTTATCGATACTAAAAGCGATTGAAGGCATATTCGTTTTAAAAAGTTAGTTCGGTCACAGGTAAATAAATCCAACAAAATGCCCGTGGTGGACACAAAAGACCCCGTGCTGCTTCAGAATCAGCAGTAACAGGTGGCGCACGTGGATCACGTCAAGGCGGCTTTGGCGGATTCCCCTGTGGCGAGCAATGGCATAATTTCACAACGCATTGCAACTTTTTAGGCGCCCAGCGTTGCCAATTGGCAAAACAGCTGATTGAGCTTTTACAGCACTGCCAATTTACTCGGTGTGGCTATCGATGTTATCGATAGTAAAAGCGATTGAAGGCATATTTGTTTTAAAAAGTTAGTTCGGCAACAGGTAAATAAATCCTACAAAATGCCCGTGGTGGACACAAAAGACCTCGTGCTGCTTCAGAAGCAGCAGAAACAGGTGCGCAATATATGTATACTGGCGCACGTGGATCACGGCAAGACGACTTTGGCGGATTCCCTCGTGGCGAGCAATGGCATCATTTCACAACGCATGGCCGGTTTGTTGTTGTTAAACTTGCATTTCGAGTTCATGTGAAATGTTTTCGTTTTGTTTTTGTTGAACAGGCAAACTGCGCTATATGGACAGCCGTCAGGATGAACAGGAGCGCGGCATTACCATGAAAAGCAGTTGCATTTCCCTCTACTATCAGGACTACAGCAATGCTGATTATCTGATTAATCTGATAGATTCACCGGGTCATGTGGACTTCTCCAGTGAGGTTTCCACAGCTGTGCGTCTCTGTGATGGCGCCATAGTCGTTGTGGATGTCGTAGAGGGCGTGGGCCCACAAACTCGCGCCTGTCTCAAGCAAATCTACGAGGAGCAGTTGAAACCCGTGCTGCTGCTCAATAAGCTGGATCGTCTGATACTGGAGAAACAAATGACACCGCTGGACGCTTACTTTCACCTCACGCAGGTGCTGGAACAGGTGAACGCTGTGCTGGGCAGCATATTTGCCTCGGACGTGTTGGCCAAGGAGGACATGAGCGACAAGAACAACTATGAGTCGGCGCTGGAGAACGTCGATGATTCCGATCTGTATTTCTCCCCAGCCGCTGGCAATGTGGTCTTCTGCTCTGCCTACGACGGCTGGGCATTTGCTGTGGGCGACTTTGCGACCACCTATGCGGAGCGCCTGGAAATGCCGCGTGCTGAGCTGGAGCGAGCGCTCTGGGGTGACTACTACTACAACAGCAAGAAAAAGTGTGCGCTGGCTGGGGCACAGGAGAAGGCCAAGAAGCCTATGTTCGTGCAGTTCGTGCTGGAGAATATTTGGAGCCTGTACGACACAATTGCCGTGCGCAAGGACAAGGACAAGCTGCCGCTGATAGCCGAGAAACTGGGTCTTAAGCTGGCGGCGCGTGATTTGCGCCTGACAGATGCCAAGCTGCAAATCAAAACGGTGCTCGGTCAGTGGCTGCCCATTGACCGCAGCGTGCTCCAGATGGTGGTGCGTCATGTGCCGCCGCCGCACCGCATCAGTGAGGAGCGCGCCCAGCGCCTGCTCTATCCGGCCAATGTGGAGCTGAGCTCGTTGCCAGCCGAAACGCTGGCGCTCAAAGAGAGCTTCCGGAACTGCAATGCGCAAAGTGAAAATGTAATCGCATTTGTATCCAAAATGACGCCCGTACATGTGTCGCATCTGCCACAGAATCGGCCAAAGCGTCTGACAGATCAGCAGCTGCAGCAGCGACGCGATGAAGTGCGTCGTCGCATTGAGGAGCGCAAGCAGCAGAGCGAACAGTCCGCGCTGGATCAGCTCACGGCGGGTGTCGAGCAGCTGAACACACAAACAGTTGTAGCAGAGGAGGCTGCGCCCGCGGAGGAGCGCAACGAGTTCGAGTTTATTGCGTTCGCACGCGTCTTTAGCGGCACGCTGCGACGTGGCATGCAGCTGTATAATTTGACGCCCAAACATGATCCGCGCCAGCCCACACATCGGGTGCTGGAGCAGGCGCCCTATGCGTCACAGGTAACTGTCGGCGAGTTGTACATGTTCATGGGCGGCGAGCTGCAGCTGCTGGAGGAGGTGCCCGCTGGCAACATTGTGGGCATTGGCGGCTTGGAGGAGCACATTGTCAAGACGGCGACACTGAGCAGCACCCTGGACTGCACCTCGTTCAGTGAACTGAGCATCATGGCCACGCCCATATTGCGCGTGGCCATTGAGCCAGTGCAGCCGCAGGATATGCCCAAGCTGGTCAAAGGACTCAAGCTGCTCAATCAGGCGGATGCCTGTGTGCAGGTCTCTGTGGCGCCCACGGGCGAGCATGTGATAACCACCCTGGGTGAGGTGCATGTGGAGAAGTGTGTGCACGATCTGGAGCAGAGCTATGCCAAGATCAAGGTCAATGTGTCCAAACCAATTGTATCGTTCAGAGAGACCATTGTGCCGGATGCCACAGTGGACATGGTCAACGAGGCTATTGTCAAAACAGCCGATGACAAGGATGTGACCAAAAAGATTGCCACGCAGCAGACGCTCAACAAGCTGGGCACGCTGCGTGTCATCGCCCTGCCGCTCCCCGCGACCGCTGTGCAGCTGTTGGAGCAGCACAGCAACGTCTTCAAGGTGCGCCTGAAATTTTGGAGTAGTTCAGTTAGTTGTTAATTGATTTTTGTTGCCTTTTTAGGAACTGGCTGCCACACAGCGCAATACTCTGCTCTCGGAGAAGTTCTCAACACTTTTGGCCTCCATCAAGAGTCAGCTGATTGTCGCGCTGGAGGAGCTGCAGCTGCATGGCTTGAGCTCCCTTACGCCTGCTGAGCTGGTGGAGCGCATTTGGGCGCTGGGTCCACGCAATTGTGGCACAAATATTCTGCTCAATCTCAGCGATTACGAGCAGCCCGACTTTTGGTCCACACAGTCCAAGAGCTCTGACACAGATGTGCGTGTCACCAGCGATGCGCGCAGAGATTTCAATAGCTCCTTGGTGAATGGCTTTCAGCTGACGTCGGGCGCGGGTCCGCTCTGCGAGGAGCCCATGCAGGGCGTTTGCTTTGCGGTGCTCGAATGGTCACTGCAGTCCGAGGGCGAGGATTTGAATGCGCGCGGCTTTGGACCCTTTTCGGGTGAGTTCAAAGAGTCATATGCTTGATTATAGTTCCTAATAATTTTCTCAACCCCAACAGGTCAAGTGTTAACGGCTGCCAAGGAGGTTTGTCGGCAGGCTTTTCAGAATCAGCCACAGCGTTTGGTTACGCCCATGTACAGCTGTAATATTGTGGTCAATGCAGAAATGTTGGGTGAGTCCAATGATATCTATGTACTTATTCAGTTCTATGCCTTGAAAACTCCTAAAAAATTCATTATTAATATTGTTCTCGCTGATAACAGTGGATTTCTATGTTAAACATGGGCTTTGTTTACATGTGAAAAACCGTTTAACATTTGGTTAACATTTCTTTGCTTTGCTAAACATAATGTTAGATTTGTATGTAATGTTATTAACGGTTGTATGTTATGCTATTCAGCTGTAACACGCTGCTATTAACAGTGATTGGCTAATGTTAAAAACAGTTATCAGTTTCTCTATAACATTTAATAACTATATTTAACTGCTGGGAATATTTGCATTGTGCTAGACACTGTGATATCTGTTACTTACAGAACCAGTTATGTTATGCCCTTGCAAGCATATTTTAGATGGTATTTCTTATTAGATAAGAATGAAAAGCATTTTACTATTTGATTAATATTTAAATTCTGTATGAAACAGAACAGAATATGTGGGTTTTTTAAAGTACAATATTAACGAGCTCTTGAATGCTGCTATTGACATATTTTACAGTTTGTAACAGTTTGTGCTTAGGCCATTTTAATCAGCAGAGCTGTTGGCATAAGGGCAATGTTAAACAACAGTGAACAGCTGTTAATAACAGCGCCTCGTTATGTTCCGCTATCAAAAGCAGTTTCTATTCAGCTTAAAGGCTATTTCCCATCAAATCTATTGCCCCATGTCCATTATTAATTGCAATGTATTTATTATTTATTTAACTAAAATGTATAAATAATTTATTACATACGCATTTCGTATTCGCAGCAGAGCAAAAATTCTTTCAAAATCGTTTGGCGAAACGTTTAGTTCACATTGATAATTTGTTGTTGTTTAATTTAACTACTAGTAAATGCAGCTTAGGTCTAACATAAATAGGCAACTAAATGTAGTTTTCTTTTGTTTATAATTTAAATAATTTGCTTCACTGTAAATTAAATAATTGTTAAATGTTATAAAAACGTTGAGGCCATGGGCTTGGGTTCAATATGCAAAACAAATTAATTAAACAATTAGTGTGGGCGTGGGCGTGGGCGTTGGCGCGTAATTGTTTAATTAATTCGTAATTGTTTTCAAATAAATACAAAATACGAGTATTTGTTAAATTAAGGTAACAGGAGCGAACGCGATCAGCTCACGATCAGAAAATGCCATTTCAAATGCTTATGTTTAAGTGCTTAGCGTCTAATTGTATATACGTTACGTTGCGTTACGTTACGTGACGTGACGTAACGTCACGTTAAACCGCCTTGTCTCTTGCGTAGTCATTGATCCCGTTCTATCGCCGGGCAATCAGTAGATCGCGATCCATTTGCTTCAGTCACAGTAGCTTGCAGAGTATTCCAAAAAATTCGTGGCTCGCTCCAAAATTTTGTGCTAGAAAAATTTACTACTAAGGTTCCGTTATGTTTCGCCTAATCCCAGACAATGGTCTGTTGAAACTCCAGCACACGATCCCAGGGAAACTCGGGCTCATAGTCATCGAGCGTGTCCAGCGATCGCTTGGCACGGTTCGCCTCCGGCGGCGTTGTTAGCTCCGCCGTCGGTGGCTCGCTCCGCTCCAGATTGGCATCCGCTTGGAGCGTGGTGCGCGCCTCCGCCTCATCGCTGGCCTGTGTGCTGCTGCTGGGCACCTGTTCGCGCTCCTCGGCGGCCGCCTCAATTGGCGGCGCCTCGCCGCGTCTCTCATTGTTGCGTCCATAGTTGCTGCCCGGAAAACCGTTGAGCGTAAACTGATCCGGTCGGAAATTGGGCGAACTGTGCGTATGCGAGCTCTCCGGTCGATTTAGATACTGATACGAGCTGCTGCCGCCGCCGCCGCCGCCGCCGTTCTGGTAGGATTGATCCTGCGGGTGATAGTTGGCGCTTATGGCCGAGCTGCCCACCTGACTGCCCGATGAGCCGCCATAAACGGGCCTGCCATAGCTGTCCTTTTGGGCGCCAAGTGTGCTGCCCGGACGATAGAAGGGCTTCTGGAGCTGATAGCGCTTGGGCGGCTGGACGCTGGGCTTGCGCACAGAGTAGCCCGGCTTGACGCACATCATGCCGAACACACGAATTCCGGGCACGCTCGCATAGGTGGGCTGATCATGAGCCATGGGTCCCTCTGTATAGTATAGATGGGTTTATTAGGATTGCCAGGATTGTTTAATAAGAAGAACTTTAATGGTTTTTTAGCTCTTTGCTGGATATAGGGTATCATCTAGTCGTTCACTGGTTGTACTCACCCATCTTGAAGTGATCGGGACAGCGGCAGATGACGAGATAGTGCGATTTACCGGTGCGTGTATTCTGCAACGCCAGCAGGGACCAATCCTTGGGCGAGCGACATTCGCGCATTTCAGTTGTTGCCTCGCAGGTTTTGGCCAGCGTAATTGCCTGTTGGTTTGATTCGGTTGGTGTAAGCCAAGAAGTATGTGATTAGTGTAATGAATACCGTTTGCCCGTCTAGACGTGGCTAATAGCTGGGCAGCTCAATTAGACATTCACTTGGCGGCGTCTGTCTTGCTTTTGATGTGGCCCACAGGACGGCAAAGAAAGTGGCCTGACGCGCTCTACTTCTAACTGATCGTGGGGCAAATTGAAAGTTAACATGCAACAGGCGAGAGCTGAGCCTGGGGCGTTGCCCAGGGCAGTTGAAGAGGGGGGAGGGGGGGGGGGATTGCCATATTAGCTAAGCTTGCCAAAAAATTGTTTGCCAATTGGCAGCAGTTGATCCGTGTGTGCCGTGGCTGAACCCCTTTCAATTGCCCGACATGATTGTCCTTTTAACAGATTTTTCGTGTTGCACTTGGGCTACTGTTGTTGTTGTTGTTGTTGTTGCTGCTGTTGTTGTTGCTGCTGTCAATAATTTGATTGACTTGCGGCGGTGTTTGCATGCGGCTGACTGGCTGGCGTTTCCTTTCGCCCGCTCCATTGGCTGCCAATTGGCTGCCATTCAGGTTAATGTGGCCTGCCAGTTACCCACAGCATTTGCCAGTTGCTGTGCCAGTTTTTCTAGCTTAAACGCATTTTCATAATTTTCCTGTGCGCTCTGGTACAGTTCCGGCAAGACATGCCGCAGCACAGCAGCAACAACAACAATAACAAGTGTGGCATTTAACGGTACTCGGTTGCACAATTAGCCAGCCGCAGCCCACACACACACACACACACACACACCTGTGGACCCCTTCCCCCCTATTATAATGTTGATTATTATTTCATTTATGTGAAATTTTATTGTGCCACTTGCAACTCAATTATGCCCCACCGCACCACTAATTGCCACATTAATGCCACACACATGCAGCGGGCGGTTTGTGGGAAAAGTCTTGTTAACAATAAAACCCACAGATCCTTTCAGGAAATCAGGCAGCAGCAATCTATGAAAGCCAATGCAACTGATCAGCTGGCAGTCGTGCCCAGCCACATAATCTATCATTGATACCAATTACTTATACGAATTGCAATACACTGAGCAAAAAAGCGGAGGCTCTTCACATGAACTTTCTGTTTTCATTAGCGTTTATTTGGCTTGGGCTTAGTTTTGGTTAGCTTTTGTGATTTGTTCTGTTTAGACTTCCTAAATTAACTTTCTTCTGAAGTCAAGCAATATATCCTAAGCTAGAAGTTCTTCTTAGTTTCCGACTGTTTTCTAGCTAAACTTTGTTTCTACTTTATACGAGGTTTTGGAAAATATCTTTGAGATGTTTGTCTTTAAGGTAAATTCTCATCCTTCTAATTATATTATTTTTAATTTATTAAATTTACTCCTGGAGCCATTTTCGTCGTCCATTCCTTGGATTATTTCTTGATAAATGTTTTTCATACTTCTACCTAAGCATAATCCTTAAGGTCTTTAGATATCTTTCTCTATATATGTTTTTATTCAACAGTATCATGTGTGGTTCGCAGAATAAGTATTTCCTGTTCGCACGTTTTTTTGCTCAGTGTAGCTGGTTTGGTTTGAACACCCGCTTTCCCCCTTCACTGTTAGCTGGCAGACTTACCTTCTTCTTATTATCACCGACCAATTTGGTGGTGTGCTGATCATCTTCGTTGAGGCTGGCCGAGCAGGGATCACGATATCTGCAAAAAGACAGATTGGGTTTTAGTGTTTAGCAGCTGTCTGTCTACCGAACTCTGCCCAGCTCTGGCAGTCGGAATTGCGAGCCCAGTTGGATAACGCACAGTTGGGCGCAACCAGGAACAACCAGCTGAGCTAGCTTGGGGGGCTTTACTGGATTGGGCCTGGATTGCGCCTGGGTTGGGTTTGGGATTGTTGTCAGCTCACCTTGATGGACAGGCGCAGAGCGGTTGGGTATAGTTGAGCCGCACGTAGACCGCATTGCAGACCTGCTGTATGGCGCATTCGGGCAGCAGATAGATGTGTTGATTGTGCGGATAATAATGATATTTGGTCGGTTTCGCTGTCGCCGTCTTCTGCAAATAGAATAGTTAGAAACGAGCCGTTGAGTTGTGCTGTATATAATTTCAACTGTGGCCAAAAGGTTTTGCTAATTAAACTGCAAATGCAATTGGGATTAGCTGGAGATTTGAGCGTGGGCTTGGCCAATGGCCAATGGCCAACTCGCCAGTCACCAACTGTGCTTGTCAGCTGCAAATATTTGCTATTTGTTTTGCAGCTCGTTGACTTGCCATGAGCCCAGACCAAGTGCCTGTTGGCTGCTGCATTGCAAAATTGACGCAAACAGTTTTTTAATAACAACAGACAGGGTTCGCGCTTAAATTGAAAACGGTTAAACATAATAAAAAAACCAAGTGCAATATTCTATGCCAATCTTCGACTCGACTCGGCTCTGCATTCAAAATAGCTGCACCACAGCAGGTTAATGGCAAACGAGACCCTCGCATAATGCCACAAATTGCTGCCAAGCGGAAACTCTTCGGCAAGACGGGTGAAAAAAAAAAAAAATAAAAAAAATGAAAAGTTATTAAGAAATTGATGCAGTCAACTGCAAGCTGGGGTTAGACTATGACGCCGGCAGGGAGCAGGAGGCCGGGGTGTCAGCCCTTGGTAACTGCCAAACGCACTCCGCTTGCTATTTACTTGGCAATTTGTGCACAGAACTCAGAGCTCAGAGCTCAGAACTCAACTCAAGCCCCGTCACTTCCTTTCCATGAATGCCAGCCATTTCCCCTTAGCTAACTTTTCTATGTAGAAAACTTTCTAAAATGTGCTCGCATCTTGTTCGGAAGGGAAGGCTGGCAGACGCTTTTCATCATTTTCCATATACTTGGTGACTTTTGTTTGGCTATTCAAAAAAATGCCAACTACTTTCGCATATTGTTTTTGCAAATATTTCCTCAACACAATTGAAAGTTGTTTGTCGAATGGTTCGCCTCGGCAAATGTTTTCCCTTTCCGCTTGATGCGGCAAAAAAAAAACACGCACAAATTAAATAGTCATTATGTTCGGGAATGCGTAAACATTTGTTCAAGGAATTCCTGGTACCGCAGATTGTCTAAAATGATTGAGGGCTTAATTAATTGCTGGTGTACGGTAGATTTTTCTAGGTCTCGCATTGATTGTTCCGGATTGATGAGCACACATTCGTGATGTACTAGGAAATCTGTTAAGTAATGCGAGTTTCAGAATGTAAGTGCAGCTAAAATTAGCCAGATAAGCTTGTCGTCAGTTATTTGTCTAAATGAGATCTATAAATATATTAGTTATTATTCTGATTGATTGACTGATTGATTAATAATGCTCCGCCCAAACGGAGAGAGCTAGAAAGTCGAAAATGTTGCACGATTTTCTATTGTTTGCATAAAAATGAAAATTAAGAAAGGAATTTGGAAAATTCCACAATAAATATGATTAATTTTCCATTCAATTGGCTTCAAACTCACTCGCAAAATGTTATTTGGTGCGTGAAAATGGCAAATGGAATTTTCCCATTTGTAGAAAAGAAAAAAACTGTGTCTGGTAACATCTTGTTTAGAAACCTTTGCAGAGGGTATTATATTTTTGTCACGGAATCTGTGCCGTATTGTAAAAGTATATTTATTCTCGAGCAGCATCAACAAGCTTGGACCAAGCGCGTCATTTATTAATTTTCCTATGCTTTTTGCATATTTTCGAAATTATATCAATATCGGAACACTATAGCATATAATTGACATTGGAACGTTCGGTGGATAAGTTCTTAAGTTCTTGTGTGAACAAGGTTTTTAAGTTTATCAAGATATTTTTTTAAACAATATATAATTAATATATGTTTAGGGAGCCTTGTTGTAGAACTAAGTGCATATTGTGCTAGGCTTTAACTTAAAGAGTTTTGGCATAAAATAAGTATCTTGAGTTTGCAGCTAAACAAGAAGAGTTTCCAGCTCAACTCTCAGCGCATGACTCATACGCCATGTTGGCTGTCATTGTCATCCTCCGAGCTGAAAGTCGAACTCGAAGCTCAACTCTCACTCGGTTTGTTAGCAATTTTCCTTACTAATTGCGACTTGTAGTTGTTGTTGTTGTTGTTGCTGTAGTTGTTGTTGGCTCCTTGCTACTTAGCACATAATTGAACTTAACTTCTTTAGCTTAGTCGCCTCTTTAGCTCTCGTTGTGCCCATGCACTTCACCCAGAAAATAGCGCTTCCCATGCCAATCATTTGCATTTCGACTGAGGCCCCGGAGCAGTTGCTTGCCCGTCTCCCCTCTTCCACCCTCTCTTTCCGTAGTTGTGCTGTGATTTACACTGGCTGGCATTATTATTGAGTCTTGAGCGTCTTGAGCGTCTTGCTGTTGCACTCTGTCCGCGCGCTGCAGTCAGCTGTTTGTCGCATCTGTCCAAATGTGCAACTGTCGCCTCGGCGCATTGTTGCCGGGGCATTGTGGCAGGGCTGAATCTCTGGCTTGTTGCCTGTCTAGTTGGCTGACTGCCTGCCTGTCTCTTTCACTTTGGCTAAGTACATTTTTAAATATTTACCATGTTGTTGGACAAGCAACTGGCAACTGGGCAGGCAGCAACAGGTGGGCTGGCAGAGGCAGGGGCTGGCGGGCTGCTGTTGCCTAACTAGTCTTTAGTTAAAGAATTTTCCACGAATTGCAAATTAAAGCGTCGCCTCGCGTCCGCTTTTTAGTTTAATTTTTTTGTTTTCGGTGTGCAGCGTTCGACATGGCACACGGGTTAAAGTTCAGCCTGTCGCTTCGCTGTCGTGTTTCTAGCGCTCTTCGGCTACCTTTCCGTTTTGTAGTTGTGTTGTTGTTGTAGTTTTTTTTTTTTTTTTTGTTTTTCCTGCCGCACGTCGAGTGTTGCGCGCGTCTCGCCTCATGAAGTGGCACGACCTTTTGTAGCATTCGCCGTTGATGCATTTCGAGTGCCATGAATTGCGTTTTGATTGAAAAGAAAGTGACATTTCCGCTGATTTCTTTGCTGCAGCAGCGCATTTGCTGCTGTTGCTGTTGATTTTCCTTTTCTGCATGTGCTCTTGCCTATAAATGTTAGTTCTGCTGTCGGGTTCAGCTGCGCTGCAACCTTTGCCAGTTTTGGTCAATGTTTGTTTAGTTCTTGCTGTCAAATACATCGACTCTGGAGTGTCAATTAAGCGCTAACTGTTTGCCAAAAACATTGCCAGCTAATTTTTGACTGTGTGCAACACGGCGTATGTGTAATCCAAGTAAATACCTAAAAGCGAAAGCCCTTTAATTACGGCAGACATTGATTGAACATCTATAAAGAACTGCGATTTTAGTTTATTTTATTTAAATACAATTAGCAGCAAGTTTAGTTAGCTCTTAACACAGCTAAATTTGAAGTATCGATAACTATTGATACGGTACGGTTATATGGCATCGAAGTAGCGGTAGTTTTACGGCTCTATGGTCTATGCACAATTTTACTGACCTTGATAAAAATACTAATTGTTTATATTAATTTGCAAAGATAATTATCTGCATTTAAAGCTTAGCTGGCGTTATCGATATCTATAACTTTGCAGCTCTTTAGAATAAGCTATTTGCTTAGTCACTTATTAGTAAACGCGATCGACACTACGTACTATTCACCATGTACTCTTTGTTTTATTTTGATGTTGTCAGATAAGACGTCTATCTATAGCTAAGTCAAATTGGATATGTCAGCGTTATCGATAATTGCATTGTTTGCTCGACTGATAAAGTTATCGATATTCGATTATATTTCAGAATGCTTCTGAGTGAAAATAATGTAATTAGTATCTCTTTATTGAGTATTTCATTATGGATAATGTTATCGATAGTTCAATACTAGCGAAGCTTTACACTGGCTACTCTATCTATCCACATTGTTAAAAAATATCGATATAATGACCCCTATCTATCGATTGGATATACTAGCACTTGCCTCTTGTCCTTTACACCCATTTAGACTCACGTTGACTGAAACTATCGTAACTATCGATTGACGCAATTTTAAAGATTCTTTCTGCTTAAATTTGTATGCTCGAATCTCTCTGCTTTGATTCGCTATTTGATAAAATAAGCGACAAGTTTTGACTAGTCGCAAGCGTATTTCCTTTTTGGAAAAATTTCTCGTTTTCATTTGGTTTTCTTTTCATTTCGTTTAAAACTTGTCCCATTGATTCAGCCACACAAATTTACTTTTAATGAGCGGCAGCTAATGTTAAACGCGTGCAGCTGACAGCGAATCCAGCTTGGGGCTACAGTATCTGAGGGTTACGCTCGAAAAGTATCTCACAGATGCGAAAGCGAGGCGCTTGGGAAACGCCCTCGAGCTGTCAGCCTGTTGAGCTGTTGATTCAATGCAAATTTTATATAGAGTAGTTGTGTAGGTCATGCCACGCCCACCCGACCTCACGACCGCCCAAGTGAAGTGATTTTCTGTGTAGCTGGCGCACAATTAATAAATAATTTTCATTTCATTTTCATTTGAGATTTGATTTAATTACGTGAAAGTCGCCACGCTTACAAGTCACGCCCCCGCCCCCTCACACTTAACCTGTGGGCTGTATATGGTGTAAGAGAACAGTAAATTAGTTGCCATTATGAGTGTGTGTGTGTATGTGTGTGTGTGCGTATGTGTGTGTGTGTGTGTGTGCTGGTATGTGTTGTTGTCTCTCACTTGTGTGTGTGAAATAACTTTTTTTTTTTGTTGCTTTCGAGGGCTTTTTATGTGTTATTTAATTTGATGCGTCAAGTGAAAATGAAATTTTGTTGTGTAGTGTGTGTGTGTGTGTGCGTGTGTTTATTTAATTGTTGCTTGCAGGTTCTTGTCAGGTTGTTGTTGTTGTTATTTAAAGAGCGTGAAATCTCAAGTAGATTGCCGGCTCACGATGCTGCCGCGGGCTTTTCTTGTTGTTGCTGCTGAGCTAAAAGCTACCGAAAATCCAAAGATTTGCCTTTTACTTGTTGTTATTGTTGTTGTTAAGTACACATTTCACTTGAGTTGTTGCTGCCGTTGTTAGGTTGTTATATTGTTAACTGTAGTTTCTCATGCAAATCCACGCAATTCATTTGTTTGTTTATTTGCTTTCAAATGTTGTTGCTGCTGTTGTTGCTGCTGTTGCTGTTGCTGTTGCTGTTTGCTCAACGCTTTTTTCCGGTTTGCTGGCCATTGATAGCCATCAGCCCAGCACAGTACAGCATCAGCATCAGCAT